TGTTAGTCCTTCTTAGGGAAAAGTCAATTGGGAAAGCTATGAAGGCACACATGATTTTCATAACAGAAGACAGCTGATATATAACAAGCCAAGTAACACCAAAAACTCCTTGGGATTTGGCTTCCTCTGGAGGAATTCCATGATCCCTTCAGGTAGTGACTTTGCCATAACCAGCTGAGTTCTTATGATATATTCCTGTGGCCCGCAACACTGAGGAACCTGGAAGCTCCTATCCATCCAGTGTGGCAGTGCTGATACCAGGCCCAGGGCACTGTCTGCACTGACTGCACTGTCATGGCCCTCACACCCTTGCTTGCCTGGTGTACTGCCCGTGGGGACAGGTGGTAGTCACATGTCTGCATGTGAATTCAAGGTCCGGAGAGCTCATTCCTCTAGCAGCATTTATTGTCACCCACTCCATCTGAACCAGTATTGGGCAGAAAAACAGAGGGTTAAATGTTGGTCCCCACCTTACAGAGTTCCCAGACCCAAGGAGGCAACCAGGCTTGGAAATAAATTTCTTGTTGGAAGTTAGGTCAGGGAGGGCTTCCTGGAAGAGGTGGCCTCGTGTCCAACCCTGCTTCCTGGCCACATGTGCCTGGGTCTATCCACAGGACAGAGGCTGATGGGAAGTCCTACGTCAAGTACCAGGTTATTGGAAAGAATCACGTGGCAGTGCCCACGCACTTCTTCAAGGTGCTCATCCTGGAGTCCACCAGCGGGCAAATCGAGCTGCGTTCCTACGTGATGCCCAATGCCCCTGTAGATGAGACTCTCCCTCTGGAGCGCTTCCTCGTGCCCATCGAGAGCATCGAGCGTGCCTCGGGGTTGCTCTTTGTGCCCAATATCCTGGCCCGTGCCGGAAACCTCAAGGCCATCACTGCTGGCAGCAAGTGAGGGTGAAGGATTCAAGACACTGGGGAGATGGGGTGGGTTCATATTAAAGATGGTTATTTTTGGAGGCAAGTCTTGACCATCTCTGTTCCTGGTGATGCTCCATTTCCTGCTGTTTCTGCATCCTGGATCCATGAAGTTGTCAGGTGGTCCAGGAACCCGCCTGGATGAGACCAGGTTGCAGGACAGCCAGGGAGATGAGTATGGCTTCCTGGAAGAAAAGAACTTGGCTGGGATCTGGTACTTAGGCAGCTGCCCCAGCTCCTCGTCATCACAGCCAGCTGCCCCAGCCCCACGTGGGGCCTTCTTCAAGAGCCAAGAAGATGATGATGGGCAGTTATTTCCAACTGGCTGAGCAGTAATAAGTGACATGGACAGGGCCTCAGGGACAGGCAGACTGGGGCTGTCAGCCTACAGTCACCACCCTTGAGACTGATGGAGCAACAGAGCCTCCTCCACATGTTACCCATAGGGACATCATTTTATGTTGGCTTCTGGTATGGTTGCACAGATCCCATGGATGCTCTGTTCTTATGGGACACTTTTCCCAGCACAGAAATGTTGTTGACACCCAGAGGGACCTAGAGCATCACCAAGGAAGCAGAGGCCCTGAATAGGGACAGACAGGTTACCTGGGGCCGTAAGACTACTACTGGCCCAGGACTTGCAACCTTTATGGCTCTGTGTCCTGTCCCTGCCACGAGTTTCCTGTGGTAAGGACCCCATCTTCAGAAAAGGCATTTAAACTGAGGCTGGGAAGACAGCTCAGAGGTTAAGAGCACTGGTTGCTTTTCCAGAGGTCCTGAGTTCAATTCCCAGCATCCACGTGGTGGTTCATAACCGTCTACACCTGTAGTCTCATGGGATCTGGTGCCCTCTTCTGATGTGCAGAAGTACATGGAATACTTAAGTAAATCTTGGGAGAAGGCCCAAGGGTGGATCACAAGGAGGACCGGGTGCCTGCGCCTGTGGCTCACCTCAGTGCGGATGGTACGGCTGCCCTGGTTGGGGCATGTGTTGACGTAGAAGTCGAAGAGGACACTGGGTTCAGACACTTCAAGGTTGGGGTCAGCATCCACTCCAGCTTCCAGCCCTTGGAGGCCCCCGAACACCACAAGAGCATGCCTGGTACCCGGAGACAGGGAGTCACCGACTTCGAGGCTCCACTGGGTACAGTCCCCAAACCCATATACAGTAGGGCCCAGTCCCTGCCCCAAGCAGCACCCACCTGAAGCTGGGCAGCTGGGCAGAGGCCATGCTGGAGCCACGTTCTGATGTACCAATGGTCAGGTCATACCCATCCTGGAAGGGAGCCTCAGCAAACACGGCACCTGGGGGGGGGCGCTCAGTGGGGTGCTGCCCTTGGCTGCCTCGCTAGCACATTGCACGGTGGGGTGACAGCTCAGGTACAGGAGGACATCTACTGCTCTTGGGGAGTTGCGGGCAGGGAATGGCGGAGTTGAAGCTTGGGCTGGGAGCACACAGGGTGGGCGAGGAGGAGCACCAAGCCCTGGACCACGGTCGGCAGGCTGACACTGGTTCAGAGGGCTTTCCTGGTTTGGGGTTTCCAGGGAGGTCCCTGTGTTGGCCTCTCCGGGTGCTGGGTGCTGGGAGGGCAGCCGGGGGCCAAGCACGACCTGCTCTCAGATGTTCTTAGCATCCAAACAGATGTTCAGGGAGAGCAGAGACGGCACCACCTAGACTCCACACCCTCTGGCAGGACAGAGGGACGTTCAGGGAAGGAACTCTCCTTACTGAGACAGGAGGCCAGCCGGACAGTGTAGCCCCAGTAGAGACCGGCTTTGGTGCGGGGGTCCTGTGACGACACGACTGTCCCCTTGTAGGTCTTGCATTCTGGGGAGTAAAACAGGCTGTGAGGACCAAGGAGACTGGGAGGTCGGTGGAGGCTCTAGGCCAGGCAACTGTAAGGGCCACGGAAGCTTCCAGATACCTGGGGGGAGCTGCTTCTGGTTCAGTCGCACGGTCACACGGAGTCCAGGTTCCAGTTTCTTGTCAATCTTCACCTCCTGCGGAGAAGCTAGAGGAAATGAGCGCCACACCTCCGAAGGGGCCAACCTTCTAAAAAAAACCCCCGAGAACTGTGGTGCCAGGTCAGCCCGCCACCCTGTGTCTGGCACTGAGTAGGACCTGCTAAGAGAGACCATTCATGCAGAACAGTTACCACAGGGCACTGGTCACAGACGGGAGCCCGGGGCTTAGGACATGGAGACAGGCAGTGTCCACAGAGATGAAGTCATAGGTTTCCTCCATGCGGTGGTTTTGCCACTTGTTAGCGGCAGAGTGTGAGGGGGTCACTTAACTCGGGTGAGCCTCAGCCTCCCCATCTGCTGACCAGCAGACTATAAACGAGCTACTGTCCGACGGCTCACAGCTAAAGGCACCTGCCCCCAAGCCTGATGGCCAGAGCTCACTCCCCACGGTGCGGGGAGAAAACACTTGTCAAGTCGTCCTCTGACCTCACATTACTCCTTGGCACGTGCAAGCTTACACACACATTCACACCCATGTACACTAAAAATGAGAAATTAAAAAATCACCTAACCCAAACCAGCAAAGCTGAGGATGAACTTCAACAATAGAGCATGATTAAATAAATCTCAGTAACAAAAATAGGTAATAAACACACCCCAACACTGGGTGTGGTCATGACTTCATCTCCTTTATTTTTCTTTTATGTGTATGGGTGTTTTGCCTACATGTATGTCTGTGCACCATGTTCATGCCTGGGGCCCAAGGAGGCCAGAAGAGGGCATCAGATCCCCTGGAACTGGAGTTATAGTTGGTTTGTGAGCCACCATGTGGGTGCTGGGAACTGAACTTGGGTCCTCTGCAAGAGCAGCCAGTGCTCCTAACCACTGAGCCACCTCTCCAGCCTCCCTGAGTTCACCTCTTAAGTTCTACTTTGGGTACTTCTCTGATGCAGTTAGCAATAACTGCTGTTTCACAACAGGCCGACAGTCCGGGTCCATTCATATGTCCCTGCCTGTCTGCCACAGTGAGCAAGTGTCCTCAAGGTGGACCACAGCCTGCCTTCCATTCCCACCTTCTTCATTCCACAGTTGACCAAAGAGCCATGGCCTGCCTTGGTGGGCCGGTCCACCACAACGCCTTCTCGGAACTCGGATTCCTCATCCTGACGCATGTGGTGAGGACTGTCCAAGGGGTTGAGGATCCCTGTGCGGGTCAGGAGGGTGATGTCAGGTCCAGACCTGCACTCAGGCCTGCTTTCCCACTGGGGTAAGTGGGGCAAGATAGTTTCTCAGTGCTTAGGATGAGCCCTGAGAAATGCGGCAGGCACACCAGCCATACCTGCAAACTGCAGATCCTGGTGTTTGGGGAAGAACGCCTTTCTCAGGTACCTGGGGCGGAATGCAGCTGTCAGGACCTTCCTGGGGAGGCTGCTTCCCGGCTACATCCGAGGGGACACCACCCTCACCTCACACTTACTGTGGACACTCCAGGTACTGCAGGATGCGGGCCAGCTGTACACACGCCTGCCCCTTCTTGCCAACTCCCTTGAATTCCCCTTCCACAGTCCTGGGAAGACAAAGACAGGGCTCAAGATTCACAAGCTGGGCTGGAGAGACGGCCTACCGGGTTAAGGGCTCCTGTTCCCAGGAATCCTGAAAACCTAAGTTCCATGCCCAGAACCGGCATGAGGAGAGAGCTGACACCTGACTCCTGCACATTGTCTTCTTCGATTATTTATTGTTTTGGGTTTTGAGACAGAGTTTCTCTGTTAACAGCCCTGACAGTCCTGGATCTCACTCTGTAGACCAGGCTGGCCTTGAACTCAGAGATCCGCCTGCCTCTGCCCCCCGAGTGCTGGGATTGAAGGCGTGCGCTGCCCCTGCCTGGCCCAGGTTGTCATCTGAGCTCCACAACCACACTGGTGTGATACACACAAGCACCATAAATAAATAAAAAAATAAACGTTAGATGGGAGCAGGACCGAGCTAAGAGCTGAGGGGCGTGTAGCTTCAGTGGTAGAACAAGTACAAAACCCGGAGTTCAATCTCCAGCAGCAAGGGAAAAAAAATCCCAACCGCAGCTGCCTTTGAGAGCGGCTGCCACCACTGTGAGAGGCCTCGCCTCGACAAAATAAGGATTGTAATGTGGGCGTTTTAGGCAGGGCACTGTCAGCCGGGCAGTGACAAGGGACAGGACAAGTCACAGCCCACCCTGGTGGCCCTCCCTCCCTGGGGAGACTCACTTGCTGTCTTGGCCCTCCTCATCGAACACCACAATCTCGTCCACGCGGAAGATGGCGCAGGCTCTGGCGATCTGGCCAGCCAGGTAGGTGCGAAGCTCCGGTGACTGGGCGTTGTCCAGGATGGAGCCCGGCAGGGCCACGCTCAGAGTGTAAGGCCGCCCTAGCAGGGTGGGGGTGCTCCTGGTCATCCTGACAGGCCGTGGCCCGAACTCTCCTCCCTTGCTCTGTCCCCGTGGTCAGAGTAACCCAGAGAACCCCCAGAACTGTCGGACTGGGAGGAGCTTGAGACCAGCAAACTAGATCCCACCTCTTCTCTAAAGGTTCCAGTCTCTTCCGGAAGAAATGGACCAAAGTCTCCAAGGCTTCTCAAAGTAAGGCAGCCTGGAGAACAAGGCCAAGCAGTGGCCAGCAGCACCGGCCTACATCTGGATCCTGGCACTGCTCTAAGATACCTCAGTTTACCAGCTGTCAAATGTAAATAAGAGCAGCTAAAATCTGGCCGTTCTTATACAGGCCCTGAGATCAATTCCCAGCACCAACATGGCGGCTCACAACTGTAACTATAGTCTCATAGGATCCAATGACCTCTTCTGGTTTTCAGATGTACATGCAGGCAAAATACCCATATGTGTAAAACACACAAATAAATAAACCTTTAAAAGCCAGCGAAAATATAATAAGCATTTGATATCATATAAGCTCCGGAAAGCATCAAGTCTGCCCTCTACCTGTAGGTTCCCCACCTATGGATTCAATCAACCCAGACTGGAAACAAATATATACACATTTATGCACACACATACACAGCATGTGTAAGTCACTGATTTGTTGTGGGATAATCTTTTTGTATACTGTGAAGATGTGTCTTTGCCAAGGTACCTTCTGATTGGTTTAATAAAGAGCTGAATGGCCAATAGCTAGGCAGGAGAGGATAGGCAGGATTTCTGGGGAGAGGGAGGAAGAGGAGGTGCCAGTGAACCTTGGACCAAGTCAGACATACAGAATGGAGGAGAGGTAAAAAAAAAAAAAAGCCATGTGGCAGAACGTAGATTAATAGAAGCAGGTTAATTTAAGTTATAAGAGCTAGTTAGGGACAAGCCCAAGCCAAAGGCCAAGCTTTCACAATTAATAAGAAGTCTCCAAGTCATTATTTGTGAGCTGGCGGTCCCAAAAGAAAGTCAAACAGCACTGACTGTGTGGTGGTTTGTTTTTTATTTTGGGGTGGGGGAGTCTTACTCTAGTCCCAGACTGCTCTCAAACCCATGATCTTCCTGTATCAATCTTCCCAGTGAGGGAATTTCGTACATCAGGTATAATGCTGAAATATTTACAAAAGAACCCCCTTTTATCTGTGTTAAACATGTTATTAATATATAGTAACAAGTATTCACAAGGCTTTGTGCTGTATCGTATGTTACGGTGGTCTGAACTTGGCTCTCAGTATGGGGAGAGGGGATGTATCTGTAAAACTTCACCACCTGGAGGCCATGAGCATCTCCAGACAAGTGGAAGGCTCCTGGAACCAGAGTTCTTCCCATTTACACGAGTATGGTTTGTCCCCCAGGAAAGTGGGATAAGTGTTCTGTCTGTAGTGACATTAAGTGGTGGGGTGGCTGAGAGAGGAGATAGGTTGCCTGGCTGTGGAGGAGCCACCACATTCTCTCCCTCCTGGGGTTCCTTATCAGAAAGAGGTAACACGTAGACATCATTTCCAGGGGCCCCGAACCCATGTTCAACAGCCTCACTGGTGGCTACTGAGCTCTAAAGGGTACAACATTCCCACTCTCACACACCCACCAGTGAAAAAGGATACTATGAGCCCTGGACTAGCCTTGAACTCTTTATCTTCCTGCCTCAGCCTCCCAGGTACTGAGATCACAGCTGTGTGTATCACCACAACTAAAAAAAGATGGTCTCTCAGGGTAAATGTACTGACACAGAACACTCAGGGCATTAACAGGAGCTGAGGAAGGCCAGGTCCAGAGCATATAACCAGGACTCAGGGCCGTCACACTGTACATACTGGCTCTGTCCTGCCGCAGCACTAGGCATGTTAGAACAAGCCACAATCACAACCTGCTCCGTTTTTCTTTCTTTTTCATAGTTTTCTGTATCATTTTCAGCATGTATTAGGTATAATGGGAAAATAAAGAAAATTTTTCATTATGAAATTAAATTTCAAACGTAACTAAAGCACTCAGAAGGCTCAAGAGGTCTGAGCCAAGGGTAGTTTGGTGAGAGAATGCCTACCATGAATGAAGGCTCTGGGTTTAATCTTTAGCGCCTCACTTGGGGGGGGGAGGAAGAAGGAGAAGGAAGAGGGAGAGAGGGAGGGAAGAAGGGAAGGAGGGAGGGAGAAAAAAGAAGGAAGGGAAAGAGAGAAACAGAGAGAGAGGGAATGAGGAGCGACAGGAGGACTCAGGTTAGCTGCGAGGCGCGGCTTCAGGCCACACCCCGCGTCCTCCCCAGGCCCCAGCTGCCCACCTCGGTCGCTCCTCTGGGCAGCAGCCTCCTCCTCCTCCTGGCGCTTAGCCTGCTCCTCCTGGGCCCGCTGCCGCTCCAGCTTTTTCATTACCTTGAGGTCCTTCCACTTCTTTTTCTCCTCTTTCTCTGGAGAAGAAGTAGTGGGGGAAGAGGGCCTTCGCATAGTGCGGAGAGTTCCCGCTCACTGGGCCAGCCTGGGCTCCAGGAGGCTGCCAGGGCAGCGCCACTGGATGGAGACCCAGAGAGGGCTTAGCGGGGCTTGGTGGTCCGGGGGAAGGGAGGGCTCAGCACTCTTTGCACCCGGCGCCAGCCGGCCCTTACTTACTCTGCTGCTTCCATTTTCGCCATTCAACCCTTTGGCCGTGTTCACCCTGGAAGAGCAGGAGGAAGGCTGAGAGGGGAGCATCATTGCTGGCCTCCCGCCCTCTGAGTTCTCCAAACTAGGCAGGAGTACACAGTGACAGGCGGTGCTCAAAGCCTGGGGTCAGGCCCGGCACAGTAAGCAACCGGGAAGTTACGGGATGAATTCCCATAGAATAAAGGGGGAAACTGAGGAAAGGGGAGGAGAGGTCCAGCCACAACGTTGCCCTAGGAAACGGGAACAAGCCAGGAAAGGGCTCCCGAGCATGAGCACTGCCGCCCTGAGGAATGCAGTGCGGGCCCGCTAACCTCGAGAGCTCAGGCCTCGGGCGAGCAGCTAGGAGGGAGCACCCAGGTCGACACCACTGTGAGACGCCGCGGCTCCCGGGCCTTGCCCGGAACCCCACCTGCCGCCACTTACCGGGCCACACGGACGCTTCTTCGGGCGCTCCGCCATGTTTCCGGAGCACCACGCGCTTGCCAATCAGCCTCGCCGCTTCCGGCCACACCCCGGCGGAGCTGCCCAATCGCAGGCCCTGCGGCGTGTAGGGGCGTGGCCTAGGAGTCGGGAGGTGGGGCAGGACACGCCCCCTGCAGATGCGCTGGCAGCAAGCCTAAATGGCTCACGTGCGGCCCTCCCGATCGACATTCAGCTTCCACGATTTATGTAAGGAGACCCCACTGGAAATTACTTTAGGAGTAGTTTAATCCAGTGCTGCACTTTGTTCATTTGCACTTTCTTTTTATTTATTCATTCAATCATTTTCCTGGGAATCCAACTAAGGGCCTGACATATGCTAAATCAAGTGCTCCATCAGTGGCCTACATTCTCAACCCTGCCTAGACTTTATTCTTTATCACTTTATTTGTTTAAGTGTGGTTGTTTAAATTTAAAAAAAATTATCTAAGACAGGGTGTTACTATGTAGCTTGGACTGACCTCAAACACAGGATCACCACCATCAACCTCCTGAGTGCTTTGATTGGATTGATTAATTTTTGGCAGGCTTGAGGATCAAATCCAAGGTCTCCAGCATGCAAGCACTCTACCACTGAGCAACATTCCCTGTCCCCTTTAAAGTAATATTTTAAGTTTAAGAAAAAATGGGAAGATAGTTATGAAAGTGATTCCCCTAAAAACTTTTCTGCCTGGTAGTTTTGTATTAACTTTTTGTTTTGTTTTGGTTTCTCTGTGTATCCCTGGCTGTCCTGGAACTTGCTCTGTAGACTAGGCTGGGCTCAAATTCAGAGATCCACCTGCCTCTTGAGAGCTGAGATTAAAGGCATGTGCTACCATACAAAGCCTGTATTAACATTTTAGAATGATCTGGTACTTTGTTACATTTGGGGAAGATACTGACACATTATTATCAACCAAACAACATTCTCTCTTGAGTTATACTTTCTTTTTGTCTGTTTTGCTTGCTTTGGTTTTGTTTGTTGAGATAGTGTCAACTGCCTCAATCTCCCAAGTGTGGAAATTAAAGGTGAGTAAGCACCATGCTCTCTGGGTTTTGACTTTACTTATTTTATTTATTTATTTATTTATTGGTTTTTCGAGACAGCGTTTCTCTGTGTAGTTTTGGTGCCTTTCCAGGAACTCACTTGGTAGCCCAGGCTGGCCTTGAACTCACAGAGATCCTCCTGGCTCTGCCTCCCGAGTGCTGGGATCAAAGGCGTGCGCCACCACCGCCCAGCTACTTGTTTTATTTATATGTGTGTTTCGTCAGCATGTATGTCTGTGTACCACAGGCTTTTCTGGTACCTGAGAAGGCCAGAAGAGAAAACTGGATCCCCTGGGACTGAAGTTACAAGGGGTTGTAAGCCACCATGTGTGTGCCGGGAACTAACCCAGGTCCTCTGAAGAGCAGCCAGTTCTCTTAACCGCTGAGCCATCTCTCCAGCTCCCAGGTCACTTCTTCAAAGGGGGGGGGGGCGGTGTGTGACTCAGGGTTCACTGTGTATCTCACACAGGCCTTGATTCAAGATCCTCTTGCCTCAGATTCTTGAGTGCTGGGATTATAAGTGTGTACCAAAAACTGGGGGTAGTAACATATGCCTTTAATCCCAGCACTGGGGAGGCAGAGGCAGAGGCAGGCAGATCTCTGTGAGTTCCAGGACAGCTAGAGCTACATAGTGAGACCCTGTCCCAAACAAAACAAAACAACAGCCAAAACAAAAAAGCAAGCCAGGTGTGCACCACACAGCCAGCTTCACAATCACATCTGTATACTATGAGTTATGGGCAGATTCTGGGATGATTCATGAGAAATGAGATCTTTGGTCAGACTGTTCTGTTTATCTTTATTAATGTGTGTGCATGTCTTTCTGTGTCTGTATGTATACTCTCCACCTTTGAGGCAAGATTGTTCCCTGAGCCTGGGGCCCATGGTTCTGCCCAGGCTGGAAGCTCCCAAGAGTCTCTTGTCTCCACCACATTCCTAGCTGGGGTTAAAGGCATGTGTGGGACACACAGCTTGTAATGTCCCTGCTGGGATCTGATCTCTGCTCCTCCTCATTGTATAGCCATCTCTCCAACCTAGGTTTTGGTTTTGAGACAAAGTCTCATGTATCCGCATTGAACTCAAAATGCAGCAGAGCCAGGCCTTGAACTCCTGGTCTTCCCTGCTCCACCTCTGGAGTAAAATAATGGGTGTGTGCCGACAGGCCTGGTCTTTGTCAGGAACTTTAAGGACTCTATGAGTTTACCCTCTACAAGACTTTATCGTCTTGCCATGTGGTGTGGCAGAGGCCTTCAAGCCTGAGCCCCTGAGGTTGAACGTTGGTTCACAGTCCTCCCTCTGCACCAGCAGCAGTACCGTGTGGCTTTGTGTCGCTAACACCAGGCGTGTTCCAGTGACGATTCTTGGCTGGGATGCAGCTCAGAGTTATGAGTGCTCGTCTAGCATGTGTATGCAAAGCCATGAGTTCAATCCTTAGCACTGCCAACAAAACAAAACACAAAATCAAGCCAGGACTGATTATAGTTTAGGCTTGTAATCCTAATACTCAGGAGGCAGAGACAGGAGGATTGCCATGAGTTTGAAGCCAACCTTGGCTACAGTGTGACACTGACCTCTCCTGGCAACCTCCAAAAAGAAAAATATCATTGTCTTTATGATTGAACTGAAAGTCCAGTCCCACCCCATTCCCCGAGGACAGTAGAGGGGATGGGGCGGCCTCAAAGCTCTGACACTAACCCCAGGTCCAGAGGAGCTTTATGTGATTAACAGAAACCACTCCCATCTATCACAAAACCTCATGTTGTAGGAATTCTGTTCCAAGAGAAAACTGTTTTGTTGTTTTGTTTCATTTCGTTTTTTGTTTTTTGAGACAGGGTTTCTCTGTGTAGTTTTGGAGCCTGTCCTGGAACTTACTCTGTAGCCCAGGCTGGCCTCGAACTCACAGAGATCCGCCTGCCTCTGCCTCCAGAGTGCTGGGATTAAAGGTGTGCGCCACCACCGCCTGGCGAGGAAACCTTTTTTAAAGTTCTTATGTTCCCATCATTTCTCTAGGTTCAAGAAAACCTGGCTCCTAGTGCAACCTTCCATGGGGATTTAGGACTAGAGTGGCTTTAATGAGACAACTGGGATCAAATCCCACTTCTCTGCCAGGTGTGGAATGTGCTGTAATCTCAGTACCCTGGAAGCAGAAGCAGGAGGTTCACAAGTTTGAGTTTCAGGCCTGTCTAAGACCCCTGGCCAAATCCAACCTCACTTCCACTTTAGGTCAAGCACTCACTGGCCAGAGTGGCTCCCACACACTGCCTCCCGCACGCTGCCTCCCCCCCCCACTGCCCTCCCCCATGCTGCTTCCCCCATGCTGCCCTCCCCTCACACTGCCTCCCCCACACTGCCCCCCCACAGCCCTCCTCCCATACTGCCTCCCCAGCAGACTGTTGGGAGTTGCAGGTAAGCCTGGACCAGTGGAACTGCTCACAGCTGCCCCTCCTACCTCTGTGCACACACCAGGCTGTCCTTGAACTCCTATGAAGATGTCTCCAAGCCCCCATCCCCATCCCCACACACAAACACCCTCACCCAGCCTTCAGCCTGCACCCTCTGCGGGTGAGGAACATAGCAGACAGTGGAGAGTCTGGGTTGCCATGAACAAGCCCTGTGACTTCAGATGAGTTCCAAGTTCCCCGTGTCCACACACACACACACACACACACACACACACACACACACACTCTTCATAGGGAAGGTGAAGGTGTGGGGGTCTGAGGTTCTCTGGGGTCCCTTCCAAACTGTTCCAAGCTCTGTTCATCAGGCAGTCCAGAGGAAGAGAGACAATGCCTCGAGGGCTCCAATAACTTAAAACTTTATTAGGAACAAAAGCAATCAAGCCAGAAGCAATGTCCTGAAGTCACATGAGCAGAGGCGGAGAGCCCTGAGCCTCGCAGGGCTAAGTTAAGGCTGGGACTCCAGGCCTGGTACTCCATCCTTTACTGTCCCAGGCAGAGAGGCCAGAAATAACCACAACCCTCAAGTAACCCACAGAGGAGTAGACAACCCAAGACAGCAGTCCAGACACGATGGGGCAAGATTGCTGAAACCCCCAAGTAAATGGCCTCTCTCCTGGAAGCATGTCCAGTCACAGAGCTGGGCCCTCCAGTGCCATCCCTGGGATCGGCCCAGCTGAGCCCCACCGTGTGGGGAGGGCTGAGGAGCCTCAGGCCTGTAGCTCTCTCTTCCACTTCTGCAGCCTCTCATCCATGGCCTGGAGTGTGGCCTCATCCTGCAAGACACACAGTGAGCCTTCTCTCACCCTCCCTGGTGGCTAGCCAGGCCCATCGGGGTTCTCCCAGCCTTTCCTCACCTTCACAAAACAGAAGCGGACATAGTGGTCAAAGTCCTTCTGATGGGGTTGACTGAAGAAGATGGAGACAGGGATGGCCACCAGGCCCTGGGGAGGAAAAAGCCCATGTGTGCATAGAGCCTTGAGACCCGAGACGTCGGCTCAGGGGACAGAGCAGAGGCCCAGGGTGCCCCTCCACCTGCGGCGATGGTCAGGAGAGAAGCCCCGGGGCATGCTACTAGGTTCCTCCCGGGGTGCAGGGAAAGACAGGGACTGGAGGAGAGACTGCAGCACTCTGGGGGAAAGCTAAGTTTGAACCTCAGTAGTCTGCGCAGGCGATGAGAGCGAACGGCCTAGACCCTCCCTCACCGCATAGGAGAGACGGCCCGGCTGGGAGAAGGGCAGGGACTCCTGGGGCCAGCATGGCTTCTTCGCGCCAGCGGAAAGGGCTGTGCAGTCAGCCTTGCATCCGGAGTCATGGAAACGGTCCACTGACTGGACACCCTTGACCAGGGCACGGCCTGTGCATCTCCACCGACTGGCCCTGACAAGAGGCCCAGCCTACCTTGGTTTTGATCATCCACTTGGCAAAGCGTCTGTCGTAGGGCTCATCCGCAGCACCAGGCAGGTCGGGCATCTTGCTCT